TTTCAACGGTTCCTCTCGTAACGAGTCACAACTCGTGACGGGTTCATGAATTAATCGTTGGCTTTTTCTCCAGACGTGAGCTTGGGCCGCCTGTGGTAGGATGATGTAGTTATCGCCTGTTCTTCGAAATTCTCCGTGTAGAGGTTAGCAATAACAGCGGAAACCGGACTCCCCATGGCGGCGCCGTCTTTTTGCTCGTAAATCGATCCGTTATACTGGAAGTATGTGAATCTCATCAATCAGTAAAACATTTGAAATAATGGGTTAATTTAGTGTCTCCTTCATCGAATCAAAAAGTATACAAGTTGTAATCATAGGATTTAACCTTGGTCATTGTTTGCATTAATTGATCAAGTTTTTTTTTCTGTAATATGTTTAATGACGTCGTTTGGAGTGCATAGGCATGCCAGAAACCACATCCATGTCACCTGCTCTGTCGATGGCATTGTAAAGACGATTCCGAGCCGGTATTTCGCGTCATGTCATGTGTTTCACTTAAAGGTGCATGGTGTGAGTCAGCCTCCGAGAAGGCCGAGGATCAGTCATCGTGCATCGCGGGTGTGTTTTGTAGCCGAATAATCACCTTTACTGAACTGCTCAAGTGCGTCTTTTCCCCCAACTTTATTTCGTACCAATTTTTTAAAATTGTGGACACGTTAGGTTTGGAGAAAGATTCAAGAATACTAACAGTACTGCTTTTAAGACCTTGTTGAAAAGGCCACCTCCGTACATCAATATAAAATTTCAGTTGTTGTTTGAATGCAGAGGTTATGGCTAAAAAATTATTGGTAAATAAAAACAATCATATCAAATAACGCCTCCAATCGAATAAGAGCCACCCATCCACGGTCTTCTATAGACTTAAATAAGCTCCCCGTGCAGTTAACGCGACTCATTTATTATATCTCAGTTGGCTTTTAATACATTTTTACTTGACAGTAGCACCAGAATGTCGAGCTCGTACTTCAAATTTTATCATCAGTATAATACAGCGTGGTAATAAAAAATATGGTAAAAGCTACCACCGTCTTGAACATTGAATAATTGACACTTGAGAAAAGGGGAACGCCGGACCTGGTGGGGAGGAATAAAATGTTATATCAACAAAAACGAACACAGCTACCCATTCTTAACATAGATTTCTCCGAAGAAAACGAAACACAAACGAAATAAACTAAATTTCATGCATGCTTTGCGACCCGATTTCGGTCCCAGGTCCCCACTCGTTTTGTGACCAGCGAATAATGAAAATAGTTTTCAGGATCTGAATAGTGACTGAACAAATTTCACAACGAGGCCGTTTAGTTGGGTCTGTTCCTATCAGTTGTTGTGATCTTGGTAATCTTTGAGTGCCAACTGTTTGTTTGCAAGTATTTACGTTGACGAGCAATACAAATTCTGGCTCTAAGTCTTTATTTTTGTGTTCTTTATTTATTAACTGTTCTTTACGTCTTTTTTAAGCGTCATAAAACTAAAAGGAGAAAAATCAGCAGGAACTATGAAGCACTTCCATACCCTGGAACGTACCCATGATGCCTTGCGAGTTTGACTTAATGATAAAAATAAAATTTAGCTTATAGCCAAAACATTGTTTTGAAATTCTGTTTAATGTTACATGTACTGATTCATTTGCTGTAATAAACAAAGAAGGCATTTTTCGCAAAACTGTCGCTCAGATCGAGGAGAAACCGGAATCCAAATAGGAAAAACCGAAAACCACATCGGATACCAAATCCGAAAGCCCATAAGTATTTTTTAGGAAAACCGAAAAACCAAATGTTAAAATTCGGAAAATCCGCAAAGTGCGATGAACACTAAAACCGAAAAACCGCAAAAAAAAAAAAAAACAAAAACAACCAAATCTTGATAAATGCTCGTTAGCGCATGAAAAAATTGTTAATATTAAGTGTGTTGTGCTATATTGGTTACGCAAAGGACCGAGGACGTCACAGCTACATCGCCAGAAACTATTTAGTGCTTTTCTGTTTTCCAAAATTCTTGCGTGTTTCATATTTTTACATGCGCGCGGACACGCATGGAGCAATTGCTGATTGTGAGATAGATTTGGTTTCCTGCACGACCGGTCTCTATTTTCCGCACTCTAGCACGTTTCTTATAAGGTCACACATGCCATGGGGTGCCAGAGAAACTCTTTGGCTAGATCTATCGGTAGTACATTGTCCTTTTGTTTCCAAAGGTCTTGCGTTTTGAAATTCACACTTAAAACATGTCTTCTAGTTCCATCCCTACAATGTTCATGACTTCGAACAAGGCATGAAACTTTGAACCCAATTAAAATATGCACTGAAGTACTTCCTGTCTTTCTCAACGCAGTGCGTAAGATGGCGACTATCAAAGCTTTCAGATTAGTTTTTGTTCTTATTCATGGCCTTTCCTTTTTATCTTCTTCCGATCTTCGAAAACAAATCTGAATTGCTTAAGCTGGTCAGAATAACGTGAAAGGGTGACTGCAAAATATTCGAAATGGCTGTCGTGCGTGGAAAAGACAATACATTAAGTGAAACAAATCATAATTACTATCAAGTTTGAGATAGAATATTCTCTCTCGTGACTTGGTCTATAGATGTTAATTGCCTGTTTGTATTCTTTGGAACGAAGAGGTTTTTGGGCGTCTTTTGGAAATTAATCGCTTTCTCTCATTAATCATTTTCATTAATCATTTTCATTAATCATTTTCATCAATCATTCTCCTAAACTGTTCAACAGATGCACCTAAACTAGATTGAAATTGATTAAAGTACAAGAAGGTCGGGACAAGTGGTGCAAGCAACGCTTGGCTTAAGTCTTTCGTTAATTTGCGGTTGAGCGACAAGGAAACTTTTTGAAATACAACAGAATGAATACGCAAACAAACCGAAGAAGCGAACTAGACCTTTTAGTGATTTGTAGTAACGAATTAGTTAAGATCTCAGTTCAAAGTTTAACTTATTGCGGATCAAAATGAGTTTCTTAGTTCGATAGCAGATTCCTCGAACTTGAATCATGATGTCCTTGCTCGATGTAATCGTGTCTTGTACTTTCTTTTGAGTTTTTGGTATCGTTTAGGTGTCTCCGAAATGTGCGATTTTGGTTGTTTTTTTGAACTGATTTTGACTTTGACTTGAAACTTCACTGACCAAAGTTCCTGTTTTGGTTTCGCAGTCAAAGATCAAGTAATGACCGGAAGCATTGACTACCATCCTGTTCGTTCGTGTTTTTGTTCATTCGGGAGATACTCGTGAAAGTATTGGCCGGGTAACTGTTCTGATAAGAGAAGTTTAATCTTCCAAAAAGGTCAATTCATTGTTGGTAGAGGGTAGCAGAAAAACAAAAACAAAAAATGCGATGCGAACCGTTGAAAGGCAGTCATGCAAGAGGTCATGTTCATGGTACGCTTTTCCTTAGCGTGTAACCGCCAACTTTTCTATCATCATGAAGGTTATTTTTATCAAAACTCTTTACAAGCGAAGTGTAATTGTTATAGTCCATAGGCCAGGACCCCCAAAAATGACCTTTCGGTACCACACGGGTGGAGTAATGCTACCATGGATTTTTGAAAACTAATCTTATGTATGATAGCAGTGCCTTATGAGTAGCTGAATAGGTATCACCACGTGATCAAGTGACGTCACTCCTTTCTATAGAATTGACAGGAAACAAACAGTCGCTGTCCAAAAATATTCTTTGTAAGCGGTAGAATTCTTGCATGTTTCATATTTTTATGAACGCCAGCAGACGCATAGAGCAATTGTTGATTGTGACATAGATTTGGTTTCCTGCACGACCAGTTTCTATTTTCCGTATTCTAGCATGTTTTTTATAAGGTCCGACATGCCCTGGGTTGCCTGAGAAACACTTTGTCGTTTTTCTTTTTATTATAGCATAACTTGCATGTTTTTGCCTGATACACCTCAACATGTTTCAGTGGGTAGACATTTAAGAACAAGTCTCTGTAAGAATCAAACATCTTGGGAAATGAAAACTTTCAACCCCCCTTCAAATTTTGCGAGCAGTTAGGCACTCAGGGGGGATGCACAAAAATGCCCTTTTTAAAGGTTGCAGCACTCTTGTTGTCATGGTAACAACGGCTGCTTGTTCGAGGCCTGGAGCCTCATTTCCATACAAACACGTCGCAAAAAAAGAGTGAAAAGTTTATTTCTCTATCTCAAGCTAAATATATCATTACAAATTGGCACTTCTACCATACATATTAACATCATTTGTCTTCACTTTGATACATTTAATTTTCCCTGGGAGTGAATGTGAATACACCAATAGATTATTTATCTCGGCACAGTTTCGGTCATTTTTGTTGTCGGGTAAAACAGGGAAAACGTTTATCTGGTGTCTCCAAAAGTACACCGATTCTGGAATTGAAACTACCCACCTAGCTGGTTATAATATTCTAGTTTTTAACTATGTAGAAATCTCTGCGGGCCTGCCTTTACTTTTTATAGGGGCAATTCGCGAAAAAAGCTCAAAATCAGATATCGCATAATTTGGCGATGTTCACATCTAATGTTCTCAACAACAAACGTTTCAGAAAAATGAAACGTGCGAGGCTTTGAAAGAATGTTTTCTTATGAGCAATATCCCGAAAAGAAATCTCGCCTCTGGTTGTCATCTTTCAAAAAAAATTGATCAACCTTCATGGAGGACTACTCGACGTAACTACAAACATATGCCTCAAATCGTGTACATATCATCAATATTCCGAGTGAGCATGAACGCCTTACTGGAGTGAGTGAGCGCCCAACTGCATGCAAAATTTGAAGGGAGGTTGAAAATTTTCATTTCCCAAGATGTTTAATTCTTACAGAGACTTGTTCTTAACACTCTTAGGCTATCAAGATCAGTTCTAGTAAGGTGCCTACAAAGTGAATGTCTCCTGTCATAATCTGCGCGTCATTTCCGATCGGCCCTCCAAAATTCCTGCACGTTCCAAATCTTGATAAATGCTCGCTGGCAGATGAAACAATTTTTAATTTTAAGTGTGTTGTGCTACATTGGTTATGCATAGGATGCTGCGCTTCAATATGTTTCAATAGGTAGATATTTAACACTCATAGGTTACAAGATCAGTTGTAGTAAGGTGCCTACGCAGTAAGTATCTCCTGTCATTTGGGATCGTCTACTTTAAGGCTTAAATTGAAGTTGAAGTTGGTGAGTGTCAAGTCAAAGTTTGTACACTAGAACTATTTTTTATACATCTTACGCTTTCGTCGCAGTCATCCATAACCTTCGTCTGAGGTGAACCGTTCTTCTTTATACAATGGAAGACCAAAATTGTTTAAAGACTAGAACTCCACCAATTCAACAAGACAGCTTGATCAAACGTTCCACGGCTACTGTTCTGGTTACTTTAAATATATAAGCGAAAGAGCTGAGTCGCAGGCACGGATTTCTCAGTGGTTCTTAACAATTGATAGCTAAGTGCTGACGTCCTTTAAATGATTTTATCCAAGCTGGATATGTCAGTAGTACATTAACCTTTTTTGTTTCCAAAGGTCTTGAGTTTTGAAAATCACATTTAAAACATGTCTTCTAGTTCCATTCCTACAATGTTCATGATTTTGAACAAGGTATGAAGTTTTGAACCCACTTAAAAATGCACTGAAGTCCTTCCTGTCTTTCTCAACGCAATGCGTAAGATGACGACTATCAAAGCTTTTAGATTTTTTTTGCTTATTCATGGCCTTTCCTTTTTATCTTCTCCCGATCTTCGAAAACAAATCAGAATTGCTCGAGCTGGTCAGAATTACGTGAAAGGGTGATTGCATAAGATTCGAAATGGCTATCGTGCGTGGAAAAGACAAGACATTAATTAAGTGAAACAAATCATAATTACCATCAAGTTTGAGATAGAATATTCTCTTTCATGATTTGGTCTAAAGATGTTAATTGTCTGTTTGGGTTGTTTGGAACGAAGAGGTTTTAGGGCTTCTTTTAGAAATTAATCGCTTTCTCTCATTGATCATTTTCATAAACCATTTTCATTCATCATTCTCCTGAACTGTACAACAGATGCACTTAAACCAGATTGCAACTGATTAAAGTACGTGAGGGTCGGGACAAGTGGTGCAAGCAACGCTTGGCTTAAGTGTTTTGTTAGTTTGGTTGTGCGACAAGGAAACTTTTTGAAACAAAACAGAATGAATAAGCAAACAAACCGAAGACGCGAACTAGACCTTTTGTCACACTTCAAACCGAATTAGGACTCTAGATTATTAATTACTTAGTTATGATTTAGTAATTTGTGTTCACGTATTTAGCTAGAATCTCAATTCAAAGTTTAGCTCATTGCAGATCAAAATGAGTTTCTTAGATTGATAGCAAATTCCCCGAACTTGAATCATGATGTCCTTGCCCGATGTAACCATGTCGTGTACTTTCTTTTGAGTTTTTAGTATCGTTTAGGTTTCTCAGAAATGTGTGATTTAGTTATTTTTTTAACCGATTTTGACCTTGATTTGAAACTTCACCAAAGTTCCTGTTTTGGTTTTCGCAGTCAAAGATCAAGTAATGACCAGAAGCATTAACTTCCATCCTGTTCGTTCGTTTGTTTGTTCATTCGGGAGATACTCGTGAAAGTATTGGGGTAACTGTTCTGATAAGAGAAGTTTAATCTTCCAAAAAGGTCAGTCCGCTGTCGGTAGCAGAAAAACGAAAAAAAAAAAAATGCGATGCGAACCGTTGAAAGGCAGTCATGCAAGAGGTCATGTTCACGGTATTCTTTTCCTTAGCGTGTAACCGCCTATATTTACCAAAACTCCATACAAGCGAAGTAAAATTGTTATAGTCCATGATGTGACCCTTCGGTACCACTCGGGCGGAGTAATGCTACAGAGCATTTTTAAAAACTAACCTTATGTACAATAGCAGAACCCAACGAGTAGCTGAACAGGTATCATCGCGTGATCAAGTGACGTCACTCCTTTCTACAGAATTGACAGGAAACAAACAGTCGCTGACTAACAATATTCTTTACAAGCGGCAGAATTCTTGCATGTTTCATATTTTTATGAACGCGCGCAGACGCATGAAGCAATTGTTGATTGTGAGGTAGATTTGGTTTCCTACACTGATATATTCGTCTTGAGTCACGAACAGTTTCTATTTTCCTGAAGTTTTGCACGTTTCTTATAGGGTCAGTAGTGCTCTCGGGTGCACGGACGGTATGAGAAACTCTTTGGCGCCATTTCGGCTTTCCAAAATTCCCGCATTTTCCAAATCTTGATAAATGCTCGCTAGCGCATGAAAAAATTGTTAATCTAAAGTGTGTTGTGCCGTATTGGTTACGCAGAGGACCAAGGAAGTCCCAGCTACATCGCCAGAAACTCTTTCGTGTTTTTCAAAATTCTTGCATGTTTCATATTTTTATGTGCGCGCGGGGACGCATGAAGCAATTGCTGATTGTGAGATAGATTTTGTTTTCTGCACGACCAGTCTCTATTTTCCGCATTCCAGCACGTTTCTTATAAGGTCACACATACCATGGGGTGCCAGAGAAACTTTTGGCCTTTTCTCTTCTTAGTATAGCATGATTTGTATGTTTTTGCCTGATGCACCTCAACATGTTTCAGTAGGTAGACATTTAACACTCTTAGGCTATCAAGATCAGTTCTAGTAAGGTGCTTACACAGTGAATGTCTCTTGTCATAATCTGCGCGTCATTTCCGATCGACTCTCCAGAATTCCTGCATGTTCCAATTGATAAATGCTCGCTGGCACATGAAACAATTGTTCATCTTAAGTGTGTTGTGTCGCATTGGTTACGTAAAGGATGTTGCGCTTCAATATGTTTCAGTAGGTAGACATTTAACACTCTTAGGCTATCAAGATCAGTTCTAGTAAGGTGCCTACACAGTGAATGTATCCTGTCATTTGGGATCGCCCACTTTAAGACTTTGATTGAAGTTGAAGTTGGTGAGTGTCAAATCAAAGTTAGTACACTAGAACTATTTTTTATATAACTTACGCTTTCGTCGAAGTCAGCCATAATCTTCGTCCAAGGTGAACTGTCATTCCTTTTTAGAAAGGAAGACCAAAATTTTTCAAAGACTAAATCTCCGCCAATTCGACAAGACAGCTTGATCAAACGTTCCACAGCTACTTTTTGGGCTGCTAAGACTGTTGAAGTGAAAGAGCTGAGTCTCGGGCACGGATATCTCAGTGGTTCTTAACAGTTGATAGCTAAGTGCTGATGTACTTTAAACGATTTTATCCAAGCTGGATCTATCAATAGTACATTGTCCTTTTGTTTCCAAAGGTCTTGAGCTTTGAAATTCATATTTAAAACATGTCTTTTAGCTCCTTCTCTACAATGTTCATGACTTCGAACAAGGTATGAAGTTTTGAACCCACTTAAAAATGCACTGAAGTACTTCCTCTCTTTCTCAACGCAATGCGTAAGATGACGACTATCAAAGCTTTCAGATTTTTTTTTCTTATTCATGGCCTTTCCTTTTTATCTTCTCCCGGTCTTCAAAAACAAATCAGAATTGCTCAAGCTGGTCAGAATAACGTGAAATGGTGACTGCATAAGATTCGAAATGGCTATCGTGCGTGGAAAAGACAATACATTAAGTGAAACAAATCATAATTACCACCAAGTTTGAGAAAGAATATTCTCTAACGTGACTTGGTCTATAGATATTAAGTGTCTTTTTGGGTTTTTTTAAGCGAGAAGGTTTTAGGGCGTCTTTCATAAATTAATCGCTTTCTCTCATCGATCATGTTCATAAACCATCTTCATTCATCATTCTCCTGAACTGTACAACAGATGCACTTAAACCAGATTGAAACTGATTAAAGTACGTGAGGGTTGGGACAAGTGGTGCAAGCAACGCTTGGCTTAAGTGTTTTGTTAGTTTGGTTGAGCGACAAGGAAACTTTTTGAAACAAAACAGAATGAATAAGCAAACAAACTGAAGACGCGAACTGGACCTTTTGCCACACTTCAAACAATTAAGGCTCTAAATTACTAGTTACTTAGTTTTGATTTAGTAATTTGTGTTCACGAATTTAGCCAGAATCTCAATTCAAAGTTTGAGGTTGTTGCTGATCAAAATGGGTTTCCTAGTTTGATTGTCCTCGTTGGTTACCGGATTCTTCGAACTTGAATCACGATGTCCTTGCTTGAAGTGACCCTGTCATGCGATCATGTACTTTCTTTTCAGTGTTTGGTATCGTATAGGTTTCTCTGATCATATTTTGTAGTTCTTCTGTAAGTTTTCTGAAATAAGTGATTTTAGTTATTTTTTTACTGATTTTGTCCTTGATTTGGAACCTCAACAAAGTTCCTAGTGTGGTTTTCTCAGTCAAATATGAAATAATGTCCGGAAGCATTAGATATATTCCTGTTAGTTCGTTCGTTTATTCACTCTTGAGATTCTCTTGAAAGTATTGTGGTAACGGTTCTACTACGGGAAAAATTAATCTTCCAAAAAGGGTCAATCCGCTGTCAGTAGAGGTTAGCAGAAAAGCAAGGATAATAAAGAATAACTGACAGGTACTGAGGCATAGAGTCCTTGGTGCCTTTCGCTGAGATTGGTGCGCTCGGCGGCTGGTTTTCGTGTTGGGAACTCTGATTCAACAAACTCTATATTTATATATATATATTCTTCAAGTACACATAAATTTTTAAAAAAGATACGCACTCTGCGGCTGGTTTTCTGCAGTTTCGTCGAGTTGGAACATTCCAATGGAACTTGAATCAGAAATGTGGCTTGTATCATTACGATCTAAGATTCCTGGTATATTCTTCAATTACACATAAATTTTAAAAAAGATGCGACGACATGTTTAAATCGAAGAAATATCCGGGAACGAAATGGGAAAAATTCCTGATTTGTAGTATGCTCGTTTCACTGATTTATGAAACGCGTATTGTTTATGGTTTCAATCACCAGCTTAAGTTGTTCTTTCTTGATAAAATCTAGATCATGGGAACATCCATTTCGAAAAAACTTGAGGAACAACAGAAAAACAAGGACGAGAAAGCCGTGGAAGAGCTGCAGATGCTGCAAGAGATGATGGTTAATAAAGTTGCCGCCGCCAGAGCAGAGATGAGGGAAAAGGCGCTCAAAGACGCTAATGTCCCGATTGTGGCGTTTGTCGACACATCAGAGAAGTATTCTGTCGACGTGTCGAACGCGCCTGATGATGCCATAACTACATCGATCAAAGAAATGTTTGGTGGAAACATCATACAGGGTCTTGTGAGCCTCATCGGCGTGGCCCTCAACCAGTTCTTGGGAAACACTCAGGCTGGCGTAAGTGAGCAGAACGATTACCACATCGTCTTTAGCGATAACGCCCTCTTGCGAATCGATGTTATGTTTTACAAATACGAGTTTTCATCCAAAGGAGTTGAAGATGAACGTCGGAATGGGTTCTGCCACTGCACACAAGCTGCTGTTGTTGACCTCAAAAAGGTGAGCCCGGAAGTCTTGCTATACGAGCTCACACGTACGATTGGCCAGGAAAATATTCCCGACGCAGTAAAACAGCTTCATTCAATGGCTGAATTTGGAGAGCAGTTGTACCAAGTTGTCAACGAGTTGAACACCGCTGCCGAGAAAACCCTCCCAGATTCTGACGATGGTGCTGATCGTAAGAAACAAATAAGAAATTCAAGCCAAGAAGAGGATGATGAAGAACATGATGACTGAGAAGGAGGAGTCCAAGGGAAAACTTCAGGTGTTTTCAAAACTTTACAGTTGCCGGAAAGTTTACAAATTTTTTTAGCTGAACAAAATAACATTCCTTCATAGTTTTTTAATGTTTTTTTTTCAACACCTGTCATCGATACTTCGTTACTCGAGACGAAAGAAGTTGTTAGTAAAAAGTATATTTTTGAGTTTTCAGTTTATTCGGTTTAACAGCAAAAAACATTGTATTGGATTAGATTAGAATAAAGCAATTGAAAATGCTCTTTTGGGTTTTTCTTTCGAAGATTATAATTTTGTGATCATCTGAGTAATCGGTTTCTACCTTGACGAACCGTTTGAGATGATGGGTTGATTAAGATGTCTCCCTCGTCAAATAAAAAACTACGAAATTTATAATAAAAAATTTGAGCATTGCCAGTTTTTTGCTCAATTAAGTTTGATTTATTCGAATAGTATCGTCTGGAGTGAAATGGTATCGTTACTGAAAAGACGTGCCGGAAAACCATATCTATTACGGGGTCGTAACGAGGTATATGGCATCAGGGATCAAAGGCAAACCCCAGGATGAATACCATTTTGCACATATCTTTTTCGTCGAAAAGAAGACCAAAGAGCCAAAACGGAGGAAGAACCATATTTAGTTTAATAATACGATTCGATATAAAATACAAAGAAACCACGTTGGCACTCGGCCTTGCAAGTGTTCAAAACAAACAGAAAATTAACTGTAATAACCTGGAAATTAACCGGAAACTTACTTTTTCACTGCCTCCGTACTTTTGTCAAATAACTGGTTAGCAATAACAGGTTAACTTGATTGAAACTGAACTTAACAATCGAACAACTAGATTACGCGTCTTAAATTAAACAATTTTAAAAGGCCAACCTTGCAATAATTATTACGATATATGAATTCAAACGGAGCGCGCGCGGAAAAGTAAAGATAGACAGCGTGCGCGTTAAATTTAACATTTAATTATAAAAAAATGAATGTCCAGTGAAACAATGTCGAATGAAAACCTCAAATTCTACGATCACGTTAACGTTGATTTCGATCTTTAATTTGGCCGTGAAGTGTAATGCAGCTTCAAAGGAATGGAACGATTGGAAGCTAACAGTTGTGTTAAATATTCTATATCTATCTGGTGGGGTAAGTCCACCAATCGTCCGATTGTGTATGACACATATGAGAAAGGTTGTGGTTATTCATCGTGGTGAATAACAACAGAAGTTAAGTTCTTCGTTTGTCTCACGATGTAGTCACGTGTGATGTAGATCGCGACGTTTCGACTGCATACTGCTAGTCTGCTTCAGGCGATGAGGTCGACTGGTCATGTGTGATCTTATAAAGCATGATGCTCTGCTGTGATAAGTTTTTTTTTTTCAACAGCTCTGATTGGTACATTTCGATCCTTGCTGTTCACTCAGTAATATGCTCCCTCGGCGGTCCGCTGTCGCACGGCTCTCCTGTTGTTGTGTTTTTTGAACGTGGGCATCCACGCCTCTGGAATTTCTATTCCACTATCCTTGTTGATGTTGTCAGGGTGAAGTCCCATATGAATTGCCTCTTTGACCCTGCGCGTGTAGTAATTAGGGTCACGATCAATAAACTTTACTTCGTTCCAGAGTGGCTTGTGTCCGGTGTTGTGGGCGACCTCTGAAACTGCGGAGATCTCGGTACGGAGTCGAATGTCTTGATCATGCTTCTTAATTCTGTCTTGCATAGGTCTTCCAGTCTTTCCGATGTATACCTTGCCGCATTCACAGGGAATCCTTTAAACTACGCCATCTTGCCAGTGTTTAGCCGGGTCGACCACGTCTTTTGGTCGTACTAACTGAGATCTTAGAGTAGTCTGCGACTTGAAAACAGCGCGTACGCCTTGTTGTTGTAGGCAACGGCGAAGCTGTTCGGACAGACCTTTCACATAAGGTAAAACCGAAGTAGCTTTGAACTTGTTGGCGGGTTCGGCACTGTTGTTTGGTTTTCCGGTCTTGGTAATTTTCTGCAAGAAAGAAAAAGGATAACCATTAGAAACCAGAACAGATAACAGATGTTTTTTTCTCCTGGGAGATGACGGAGGATTTTGTTACGAGACGTTTGGTGCGCTCGTTAAGGCACTTAACAATACCGCGTTTTACTGATTGAGGGTGGTATGAATCATACGCTAAGTATTGATCCGTGTGTGTGGGCTTCCTGTATACGCTGATGGTGAGGCGGCCGTCAGGTTTTCTTAAAACTGCGGTGTCTAGGAAGGCGAGTTTGTTGTCTTTCTCTGTCTCCATGCTGAAGCAGATGGAAGGCTACTGATTGATTATATGCTGTAAGAAGTCATCCAGGATGGTAAAGGTATCGTCCGCGTAGCGTTTCCAGATCCTAGGCTCGTAGGATCACAGGCGGCCCAAGCTCACGTCTCGAGAAAAAGCCAACGATTAATTCATGAACGCGTCACGCGTTGTGTGACTCGGTGTTAAGTTACGAGAGGAACCGTTGAAAATTTCAACACGTTCTAAGGAATAGTGGGGGGAACGAAATATGGTCGATTTACAACGGTAAATATTTCGAATTATGTGCCTGTGGTAGGATGATGTAGTTATCGCCTGTTCTTCGAAATTCTCCGTGTAGAGGTTAGCAATAACAGCGGAAACCGGACTCCCCATGGCGGCGCCGTCTTTTTGCTCGTAAATCGATCCGTTATACTGGAAGTATGTGGATCTCATTAATCAGTAAAACATTTGAGATAATGGGTTAATTTAGTGTCTCCTTCATCGAATAAAAAAGTATACAAATTATAATCATAGGATTTAACCTTGGTCATTGTTTGCATTAATTGATCAAGTTTTTTTTTCTGTAATATTTTTAATGACGTCGTTTGGAGTGTATAGACATGCCAGAAACCATATCCACGTCACCTGCTCTGTCGATGGCATTGTGAAGACGATTCCGAGCCGGTATTTCGCATCATGTCTTGTGTTTCACTTAAAGGTGCATGGTGTGAGTCAGCCTCCGAGAAGGCCGAGGATCAGTCATCGTGCATCGCGGGGGGTGTTTTGTAGCCGAATGATCACCTTTACTGAACTGCTCAAGAGCGTCTTTTCCCCAAACTTTATTTCGTCCTAATTTTTTAAAATTGTGGACACGTTAGGTTTGGAGAAAGATTCAAGAATACTAACAGTACTGCTTTTAAGACTTTATTGAAAAGGTCACCTCTGCACATCAATATAAAGTTTGAATGCGGAGTTTATGGCTAAAAAATGATAGGTAAATAAAAACAATCATATCAAATTACGCCTTCAATCGAATAAGAGCCACCCATCCACGGTCTTCCTTAGACTTAAATAAGCTCCCCGTGCATTTAACGCGACTCATTTATTATATCTCAGTTGGCTTTTAATACATTTTTACTTGACAGTAGCACCAGAATGTCAAGCTCTTACTTCAAATTTTATCATCAGTATAATACAGCGTGGTAATAAAAAATATGGTAAAAGCTACCACCGTCTTGAACATTGAATAATTGACACTTGAGGAAAGCAAAGTTTCCTTCTTTTATGTAAAATTCACCAAACTTTTAAACGAGCTCCTTTTCTCGATTTTCTTTAGAAGAACTAAGTTATACCTCAAACGAATTATTAATAGAAAGAGTCAGAGCTCCCTTAAGTTTGTCATCTTTATGGACTTCAAACTCAAGCGTCATTCGCTAGCGAAGCTGACAACTTTGTCGAATCAAAGAGGTCGAAATGGAAGACCATAGCGCGTGGTGATTTCACTCAACTGTTGGACGATAAAGTGGTGTCTTGCGCTTTTCAAGTCAGAGGCCAGACCTAAGCGTGCTCTTAAATGGAAAAATTGATTCCGAGACCACTCGTTTGGTTTCAGAACCTTGAAACAGACATCTAATCCACGTCATCAACTAGGTCTGTTTCTTTTGTAATGGAATCCTGTGACATGGAAGGGTTGCGCATCATCCCGACGAACTCTAAAAAATAAGTAACAAAGTGTCAAAACTGAGGATTAAATTTTTATACTTTTGCAACTAACATAATGCGTTAATTTAATGGTCCAATCTAGCGGGAAAGCAAAGTACTTCCGGAATTTTTACTAGCTATCTGTTGACACTGACAGCTTCATACTACGCAAACCGACTCTGTAGAATAAAGGGTCTTGGGAGAAAAACTTTAAAATATAAATATTTTTGTTTATTTATTTGTTGGTAATTAAGCGACAAATTACACAATTTGACTCCCCCCTCCCCCCTCCCCCCCGCCCTTCAACTTATGTTTCCGAGAGTGGCCAAGAATTTCTCAAACAACTTGCAATAGATTTCAAGCAACAACTTTATTCGAGGAGGGAAATAATGGAATTAGGTCATTCTGTAATTCATGGGGTCTTGGAACTTGGAAAATTGTATGCAATTTCCTTTCCTCATTACTCATTTATTCATTACAGAGTCATGCAGGTCTGGTTTAAAAATCAAATTCCTTTGAGAGACTAAAAGATCCACCAGAATCTGGCCGCCATGTTAGTAGGTCGAGAGTAGCGAGAACTCATATCTGAGAGAAAAAAGCTGAAGGTTCAGAGGTAATTTTGCCGATTTCTTTCGAAATCTCTCGCGCGCGTCCTCTCACACGCTCGTTCCGTAACACCTTCGCGTGGCTTCTTCTGCGCGTCACGTTCCGCAAGCACGAGTGCTTGATTATATCTAATGTGGAGTATCAAAACTGATTCTTCACTTGCCTTCTGGAACATCCAACACGGTTTCTGGACCCAGGCCACTTAGCCCTTCGTCGCCATAACTTTTCCTTAAAATGTCTCCTATGTGACTCGCACTGAAAGAAATCGGAAATGAAAATTATTTGAAGAAAACGGTTTTCTGTGATTTAAGGTGAGTTATTTTCTACAAAGAAAAAGCTGCGGGCACCGTTTTGCACAAGTAAGGCGTTGTGCTGCTAACTCTAGTTTCTTTAGAGAGAGTTTAACACCGTCACTTTTGTTTACGGCAAAAAGTTAGGAATTCTAATCGTAGTCTGACAGAGATGAAGCGGTCTACTGGCTGGCGCGTTAGACTCCAAGTCGAAAACGCTCAGTTCAAACCCCAGCCAGAACCACCGTGATGTGTTCTTTGGCGGAACACTTATTTGATCAACCAAATCTATGAATAGATAATGAAAAACTGTTCGAGAGCCTAATTAAATGATTTGGGAGTAACCCTTGATTGACTAGTAACCCATTTTAGAGGGATGGCAATACCTACAATCACATTATGCTTGAGAAACTGCGGAAAGTTTCGGAAGGATGGCAAGGCATTTGAAAAGCTGAATTCCCGTTTGTTGAATCCGTTTTTAACTTTCGCTTTTTGATTGTTTTCCATTGTTTGGATGACCACAGTTATGGCAGACCGTTGTACCGTAAAAATGGGGAGGTATTTTCAACAAATGCTTAAGTTTAGGTGTTTAGCGCCTCTCTATGTTGCCAGATTTGTCGCTTAGCGGTAAGTCTGTAGATATCTCTTATTGTTCTTGATCAACACCATATGACAGCAGTGTGATACAAATTTGAGTAAATATCCTCGCAAGGCAATATAGTAATAGATCGATTAACTTTCTGTTATGAAACTTTTTAATGAAAAACAGTGACCCCGGGGAGTATGACAGGATGCTCGGTGTAGAGGGAAACCTACCAGCTGTATGGCGGCTCATCTAAGTCTGAATCCTTATCTAAATTTAGAAGAAAGTCTTCTAGATCAGGAAATATTCTGCGAATAAATAAAACCACAGATTTTTTTAAATTCTAGACACCAGCCAAATATAAGTTTTGTCAAAACTAAACCGTAAAACCAATTTGTCATCAGAATGACTAGAAGCTCAAATATGTGCACAATTGCTAAAATTGCGTTTATTAGTTGAACATAAATTTTAAAGATTTTAATCTTTTTTCTCTCTCTCTTTTTTTTTTTTGAGACTTACAGGCTTCTATCTGGAATGTCCTCTGATGAAGAGTCCGTGTAATTTTCACTATCATAGAATAGAACAAAACACACTTTAGCTTGCAAAATGACATCTTGTACCGCTCAGATGAGCCGCACTGACCTATGAGGAACTGAAAACTCATCAGGCACCATAATTGTGACTATATAATTTATTATATACTCTCGTCAACTCACTTATTATCATGAATGAAAGTGATCCTCGCAGTAATGTGCACTACTTAGGCAGTAGTGAAAATAAGGCCTGAAAAAAATTCAGGCCTGTACGGCATTTGAACCCATGACCTCTGCGATACTGGTGCAGCGCTCTACCAACTGAGCTAACAAGCCAACTGGGAGCTGGTCATGATGTTGGTTCCAAATAAACCCGTGAAGTGATGAAATAAACGGTTAAGAATATATGAAAGTCATATATTTGAACTGCGGATAAAGACGTGAATGAAAGTGATCCTCGCAGTAATGTGCACTACTTAGGCATTTCATTCACGTCTTTATCCGCAGTTCAAATATATGACTTTCATATATTCTTAACCTTTCACTTATTATCAGTAACGGATATTGAACACTAGTTGAGGGCCACACTCACAAAAATTTTAGAAAGCTAAATTTTTCGTTTGTACCTCCGCTAGGCTTTGACTTTGAGTGGTATAGAAATAGGGTGGGTAAAAGGGATGAGGGAATGCCAATGGAACCTCCCTTAGACTCGCCAGTGACGAAGCACGTCACAAAGCGTTATAGTTTCTCTACAGTTTTCTTGCGCTGGAAGCTAGATAAGCGGAAGAAACTCACCCAAAGTCGTTCCAACGCGGCCCACTACTGTCTTCATTTTCGTGGTATGCACCTTGGTCCGGCATCGCCGCCTGCAAGTCCGGTGATTCCTCCACGAGCACAGGGTCCTCATCCTTATGAAAACTGCGTGATGCGCCAGTGATAGAGGGTGGATGACAATAGAATAGAAATGGGCCCGTGAGATGTACACGTATATGTCAAACTTATTTTCTTTCATGCAAACTATCAAAAACGAAATACAGCATCACTTTTGGTGAACCTTTTGGTTTTTTTTTTCGAATGGAAGAGGATATGCTTTACTGTGATTTCAAAGTTTCTACCTGGAAGTTCTAGAAGGCGAATCCACTGCAAAGTCTGTATCTTCACTCGGCTGCCTAACAAGAATAGCTGGGATCGGTAATCTCCTGCAAAGAGACAATTTTAAAATTAGGTCACTTGTATGATATGCTAAGAAGGAAAAGAAGGAGATGATGTAACCTCGTCAACCATAAGAGTTGACGAGGTTACGAGAGTTTCCGAGACCAACCTGCTCGGAGCGTAACGAAGCAAAATCAATTAAAAATCGCTGCAAAGCTTAAAGTCGGCGACTGGAAATTAAACTTTTTTACCTTGCAGGTTTCACAGTATCGTCTGTTTCTTCTTTGCTATTGTCATCATCTTCCTCTGGTTCGTCGTGAATTTCTTCAATTCTGAACAAAAAAGAAAAGAAAAGAAAAAGGAATTATCATTTCTCTCAGATCCTCAAAGCTGAATGGTCGTACATTTGCATAATTTTCCACACGGTAGAAATACAAATACCCAGGTATCTAACGCACAAGCTTTATCAAGAAATGAGGTACCGCATAGCCAGATTCCATAACAGAATAGCGGATTTTGCTGGAATAAAGTGGGCAACTCCGAAAGAGCATGTTTGACCCAGGGAGCCAATCAGATCACAGGATTGACTTCATCTAGCCTGACCAAGCCAGCGATAATTATGACGGAGACTGACTGACGACTTATGGTAAGTATTCCGCTGAAATGTGGTAAATTGCCACTTACTGTTCGGGTGGAATGGTCTCGTGCTGAACCAACGGATGTCCTGCTTCTTCATCGATGAATGATACTCGCTTGGAAGCTCTTTTGGACGGGGAACCAGAACCCTGGGTCTGACTTTCACTGTAAAGCAAAAATACAAAGCAAAATATAGTATGATAAAATGAAATGATATATAAATTGTGAATAAAAATTGATTAAGAAAGACTCGCAGGCAACGAGATATTAGTCTTTCTGCTGACAATGCTTTTACAATTAAAAAACGTCTTTGGATCGAGTTGCGTAAAAGTAGAGGCAACAATAAAGAAAGCAGAAGCAATCAATGCGATCCCGCGAAGAAAAAAAACGCAAACTTCTTGAAGCTCAGGAAACAAGAGTATTTAAGTCGCGATCATTTCAGTTTTGCACCTTATTGGTCGAGAGCGCGGTGTGAGTTTTTTAGACCTGATCACTGAGCACAGTGAAGGAAAAGCATAACTAGTTTATGTCAATTGTTACCTTTCCTTTCCCTCCCCAAACATATTAACCAAAGCATCTCTCAGCAACAGAGAGGCTGGGCGAGAACTGGGTCTCGAACCACCTCCAGTGGTAGCCACGCCCGGTGACAGGTACGGGCCTTTGCCAGTCGACGGCTTTGTCAGAGGCACAGTCTCCTCCGCGTACGAGGATGGACGGGAGGGCCTAGGAGTTCGTACGCTGAAATGGGAATGTAATGAGTGTCAATGTTTTGGTCGCTCTCAGGCTAGAGGAAACCTGTTTTGGTTAAGAATAAATAAATTTTGCGAAGCACGACAACTATTGTGGAGGTAAACAGTCGTTTCGCCTTCGAATCAATTAGCCAACGATAAATTTGCTAACGGTTTAGGTCGGATCGCCATTCTAGAGAGCTGTGATTCCTCACTGTATGTGTAGGTCCCTTCCGGGGAAAGCTCCCTTAATGTATGGAATTTAATTTCAGTACTCGTCCAGCACAAAGTACTCAAGTGAAATGTCCGGTGAAAACTTTCAGTCCCGGTTGTTCGAAAGCTGGACTGACAAGTTTGAGCAGTGGGCTTCGTATTCAATTTTCTAGCACTTTTAAAACGTTATATTTGCCACAAATAAGCGGACCCCTGCTGACGTGTACAGTTTAAGAAAAAATAAGACCGTTTGTTTACCCTTCTGCTAACTCCAGAAGTCTTCCCGCAAACGATATTTTCTTATATCCTCCAACCATGGGACTGGGTCTGCAGAGAAAATGAAAAGAAACTATGAGTTGATATCAGATCTGAATATGAGTACGTCCTTTTTTCTTTTCCGTTTTCAAGAAAGGATTTATTAAGTTGATTATTCTTTGGATCCCTATGCTTTGACTGGAAAATTTTATTTATTATTTTTAGTGAAATGGGGAACTCTTGGACGATCAAGGAGATATTTGCATTTGCACGACATATCCATGAGGACACGTACCGTAAAGCCTCAGATTTTTCCGTCAGGGAAGTCAGTGTCAGGCGTCATACACGTGACCTTGGATGGAGGTGGAGCACTCAACGGGTATGCGTTCAGGGTCCTACGTGTTCTTGGGAGGGGCGGAGGGGCGGAGGGGGGTATGACAGGTTTACAGTTATAGAGCCCTTATTAGCCTAAAATGTTATTAGTGTTCGATTAGTTAAGTCTTAATCAGTTCTCCGCTGTATTTGAAACATTTTAGAAAAAAATGTGATCAGAAGTGAGGTGTTTTTCGATAATCATAGCCTCGTAATTCAACTCCAGGTATGTTTGTGACTTACCTTCCTGCATTAGGGTTAGAAGACTGGCCTTTCCAGGTCTTTGTCATCTCATTATAGAGATTACCTTTACTGCAACAGAAAAGAGAACTTTGTTCAGAGCAAAAACACTTTCCACTCTTCCGGTCAGTAACCTGATAAACCGAAACCGAGTGAGAATTGACCACTCGCGTTTCTCCGCGCATGAGGTTGTTCACATGCTTTTTATTAACTTGGAGTTCTCATTGTATGATTACCGCTCTCAAATGAAAAGTTTTTTATGAAGGAGCCTTCGCTAGTTGAGTCCCACTCAGTATTTAAAAATAGTAGCGTCAGTGTTACCTAATGTTGTGCATCGTTCTCTTCTGCCGCTTTTTGGCTGCACTTTTCTTTGCGTAGGATTCATACCTTAAAAAAATGACACAAACATGTGATCACGCTGAAAATTAAGGATGGCATCATATCGTGGTATAGAAAACTTATTAAAGTTCGTTTATCAGTGTTCGAAAAATCGAGAAATGAAAGAAATTTCGTTGAAAAGTTAAGCCCTTTTGTTGTTGAAACCCTGTCGCACAACTTCTTCTGGAAAAATGTTAATTCAATTTCAGTTAATTACAATCAAAGTATAAACCTTTTTACTGTGCTCTTTTGAACGACATTAGACTGGCTGAAAGTACGGAAAAGATTCTTGTCATCAGTTACTCTAGTACAATAGCCCCAAAATTCCAAACGAATGCCCTCCCTCCGGACCGTAGTACTATATTACCAAAGCTTTCCTCAGATTTCACGGCATGAATTAGCAAGGATCAAAGGTTTTCCCCTTGGACCGCAGAATACAAGTTCATTGTGGATTACCCCTCAGTATTTCATTTTGTTTCCCTGATAAATATTCAGAAGTGAACGCGAACTTATAGTTATCTCGACCGACATGTTGACCCTACTAGTGATCAAGCACAACTGACCTGTTGTGCTCTTCCGAGTTAAACTTGTAATTCCACCAAGCAATACCAGCGACAACAATGACAAATATCATCACAACAGGTACAGATGGTCCAAGGACTATAATGTCTGGGACTTTCTCTTCGACTACCTTCTGTTCCTTAGCCAAAACGGTATGAACCGGTGTTGTCCAAGCACTCCCCGCTCCAGCTGAACTGACTGGCAATGTTCTTCTGGGTAACGGAGTCTGAACACCAGTGAGTTCTGTCGGTATTCGTGTTTCTGGTGTAACTTGCAAAACAATTTCCGATGAAGAGTTTATCGGCGCTTTGCTTGTAAATGTGGGCAAAGGAATACTGAAACTCGACACGTTTAGATTTGAAGACGAGCCAGATGTTGTCGTGACAACGGTTTGATTAACAGATGCTCCAGATACGCCCATCGTTGGAGCAGGTGCTGGTGTATGAAGGGTTTTATAATGAAGTTCGAACCCAGTCTCTTCGCCAGTTGAGTCAGAAACGAATCGAATTCTGACCCCAGACATCAAATAAAGAATCTTGTCCGGAGGGCGATTACCGTCACAATATTTCGTGTTGAATCCTGCATTACTAGACGCAGAGCCAAGTTCGCTTATTTGGACAAAGTCACAATTGCATTTAATCCCTCCACACTGCTTGGAACTTGATTGGATGTTAAACGATGAAAACCGTAAAGAAACATTCGCTTTTTCCGGGGGCGTTATAATCCATGTGCAGGAAGAGTTGGCTGGATATGGTCCCCGAAAATTTGGACTTGTTATGGTTCCTTCATCGTCGATAAGTAGCTCTATGCTCTGACAAGCAATTGGTAACGATCCTAGAATTTAGAGAGTTTACTGAGTCACCAACAATGTAAACAATGGACCAGCTGACTCACCAACCACTAACCAACGGATATAAGTCTACCGGACCAACCGAATGACCGACAACCCGACTGACCGACTCACCGATCGACCGACTAACTGAGTGACCAACAAAATGACCAACAACCCGTCCGACCGACGCACCGATCGACTGACCCACCGACTAACCGACTGACCGACCGAATGCCCGGATGACCGACCGACTGACTGACCGGCCGACTGAGCGACCGACAAACCAGCCAACCTGCCGTTGTCAGGCAAACGAGCTTCCACCCCCCCCCCCCCAACCAACATGGCGGGAACTTTCTAAAAACTTACTATGAAGAAATCCTTGTTAGAGGCCATTCTACGCAGTATTTTACCCAGAAAATGTAAAATTATATTGTTGTATCTTATTTTCAGAAGTTTGGAATCAAAATATTTTTTTTGACGTGGAGTCGAATGGAGATACGCATAAATTACGACTTTTAAAAAGTAAGATTCCTCTAGGCAAACTCTTCCAGATAGCCATCAGATTTTTTCTTAATTTGATTTTAATCGGATCCCACAAATTTTAAAACTTTTTTATAGTCACGATTTTCTTAAATCGAAACACAATAGCTTTTTCTATAAATTTTTCAAGTTTTTGTACAATGATGTAACTCTTATCACTGAGCTGCTTGCTGCGATGTAGAATATTAACAAAGCATCAAACCGCAATGAAAGCTTTTGTCATGATTTGTTTGTACACTGTAACTAATTAAGGCGATTTTTTTTCATCTTCTTCCCTGTTGAACATGCCCTTTTCTTTCGTTATGTGTTTGTCACTGTTGCAAATAATTATTTTTGTTTTTTTAATTCTGTTGTTTTTCGTATGTTACTTTTCTGTTATATCTTTTGTTCACTAATGTGTTTCTTGATTCGACGATAGTTTTAACCAGCCGAATTGCGTGACATAACGTTTATAAATAGTAACGAGGAACAGCAGGCGATCAGGAGATTTGCCAATGGGGTGAGAGGGGGAACATAGCAATGTATTGTTCGTACCCCGAGGGAAACAAGATTCCAATTCCTGTTTGCCGAATTGCCCCTAATTCTCTCCGCCCCGAAAATATTCGCAGCCAATTTACAATCGGAAACAATAAAAGTTATCCCGGTATATTGTTCATTAAAGAAACTATTAGCTAAAACAATATATACTAAATGTAAATATAAAAATACGGAAAATCGGCCTCATGCACCTGCAAATTTAAACCATACATTACAAGCGACATGCAAGGACCTATATTTTGCGGAAACGGAGTTATATTGTTTGCAAATTTTGCGCAAGTATTTATGATATTGTGTCTTAGAGGAATATATTTCCATATAGGCGATTCAAACTTACGTAGTGATTCAAAATTCTTTTTAAAAACAAAGAAAAAGGGAAAACCGGTTATGCCTTACCGCAAAACATGTTTACAAACTTGTTTGCAAAAAACATCAACGCGTCGTGAAGCGCATTATATACCTTGTTCAAACAGATTAAAAATGTCACTTTGGACAGGGAAAAAATAAAACGATTTATCCTGCTGACTGCCTAATTCAATATTAAAATTTTCAAAGTATTGTTTTTTTAAGTCCTAAAAAAGCGAGTGAAATATTTACAAAACATCTAGGAAAGAACAATCTCGGATTATGGCGGTAAATTACTTCAATCTGTTTTCGAATTAGCTGTTTTTCCAATCCGAATAAGTTAGTTAATCTAGGCATTGAAGAATAAATCCCTTTATCTGTCGGAAAACGAAGGAGAACTAAATAAAAAACCGACAAAATCTACGCACTTAAAAACAGCCCGAGTTCTTGTTGACTCTAAAATTAGTTTACCGGGAAATCGTGGTTTAGATATCTCTGTCTTAACTTCACTAAGAGAAATCGCGGCAATGTGATCTAATCTCCTACGAATTATCTGCGCGGCTGTTCGTGTTTGATTATCCCGCATAATTCAGGGTAAGTAATATATTTGTGGCGTTTCGATGGAATTAAATAGATATGTCTAACCTACGCAGACAAAAGTTGCTGCGAAAGTTGAATAATCTAATTTTAATGAACAGACCGGGGCCGTCGGTGTTAGGAAAAGTTCAAAGCTTGTGTATTGTGCAAACCCGCCGCCGAGGTCATTACGAATAAACGCTTATCTTATAAGCTTCTTTTCCCAGTTTGCTCCCTCTAAGACAGTTCGGCTAATCCGTAAAAATAACAAGTAAATTCCTAATTATTTGACGGAGGTGAAATACCCTGAATCTTTTTTAGGGATTCGACAAGTTACAGCGGATGTAGAATTTTGAGACGTCCATTTACGCATATCCTTGAAAAAATAAAGTAAGAAACCTCCTAATTCCGCGAGATAATATTAAAAGGAAACGTTACTTACCGGCCTCTCGTGATGTTCTAGGTCTTGCTGTGACCAGCTGAAGCGCATAAGTAAAAGTGGTAAACCATTTAAAACATGTGAACCTCATGTCTATCGCGCAATAGACATCCACTCAGCTTATAAGCTCCGCCGACGCATCAGCTCCAATTTTAAAGGCAATTTTTTGTTATTTAAATGATCAATACTCTCAGAGCGGAAGTCTAGTTTAGTGAACAGCTTGGAAAGAAAATATAACGACGAGAGCTCGAAAGGGCTCACTGTCTTCGTGACAAGCTGTAGTGAAGTGGACCACAACTAGCTCGTAATAAACAGAATGCATGCAATGTTTACGTTTCCGTTGAGTTTCAGCAACTGGACGAAAGATACAGCTCTGATTTTGCGCTTTTCTCCGTATTTGCTCTGTAGAATCATACGAAGACGCATTCCTTCACATCATCTGAGATGAATTTTTACTCTACTCCAACAGCTCTGCTGGAAGCCAACAGATATGCCAAATTCACAATGACCAAACACGAAGGGGTTAAATTAATTCTATGACCATCCTTTGTAACATCGTCAATCTGCGGCTCCCGTCGGGAAACAAACTAAGTGTTCACTTCTTCGTCTTGTAAATATTGAACTGGTGTTTGAAAGGCAATTGTTTACTCAACGCAAAGAACCTTCATCGTGTTATTCGACCGCAAAATCGCGGATGAGTGCCTCGATCGCAGGAGTTTGTTCTGTTGGCCAACACACCAGGCAAAACCGAACAGATAGCAATTTCATTTATCTCCGCAGAACGATTCGAGCGAATCGAAGGCGATCAAACCTCATTGTTTATCATTCTGATCATACTTAGAAGACAAGGCAAGTAATTACTTGATTTAGGCTGTCAAAGTGTGCGCGTTTGTGGCGGATAACAATTAAATATCGTCCAGTCACGCAATCTAACTTCATTGATTTCAAATTCTGTGCAGAAAATCGTTGCAAAAATGGAAAGAATCGGTGGAAACATAAGTTCAGTCAGATCGGCTATATGCTAATAAATACATTTTGATCAAAATATAAGGATATAGAGGGCGAATTGAGCGAGAACGAGGAACATACTATGTCTTAAAATTGTCTAATTGAAGGTGACATCTTACGTACATCCCCAGATAGCGTAATACATTCTTACGCTTTTGTTGTGATAAGAAAAGATTGAATGAAAACTTACTGAAAATGAATTAAGGCCATATTTGTAGGTTTGTGAGTACAGAGAAGAGCGTTGATGCTGTTCATGATTATCGGCAGGGGAAAAAGGGTAGGGGAGGGGTGGCAAGGGAAAGTATCACTAAAAGCCGGGGAGGTCAGGTGGGATATCAGTTAACATGATGCTCGATCAATCCATTCAGCCGCCCATCCCCGGCCGCCGCAGTTGACCTGAACCTTCATACAGTAGCTTTTAGTGCCAACTACTTTTCAAAGACGAGGCATAATGAATTTAAAATAAGGTTCCTGTTTTTCGTTTTTCTTCTCTATTGTGAAAACGGAGTTGTCACCTTAGTTTTCAAAATTCGTTTTTTCTTTCATGTTTTTCGTTTACCTTTTTTGTATGGTACTGAAAAACATAGAACACGCTTCCATTTTCCACTGAGAACTTCTACACGAAACCATATTCTGTTTTAAAATGACATCATGTAACGAGGAAATCAAGCTTCATTTTTGTGGTTTTTTTTTAGTTTTTTTGCGTTTTTTTTCGGCGAGGCAAGAGGACGCGAGCGTGAGGCGAAAGCATGGCGAGCGCGAGAATCAAGAGAAGACACGAGCAAAAGGAGAAGCGGAAGAGAGACCGAGAAGGCTTGGAAGCCACTCCGTCGGTTCCGTCGGTTTAATATTTTAGAAAACGCTGAGAACCTTGTGATGCACCTCTTTAGAGTGAAGACGAGAAATTTTTTTTTTAAGAGACATGGTACCATGGTACAAATCCGGTGAAATCAGTAAGTATGTAAAGGAGAAGGAAAAAGCTAAATAAAAGATATGAAGTAATCCAATTCCCCTTTCTTTCCAGCGCGGAGAATTGAAATGCCGTTTTTCTAGAGATAAAAAAAACCCTTATATTGGGAATGAAATTTTAACATCTGGTTTTATAAAGCAAACAAAAACTAAATTTATGTCACTAGAACAAGGCACTGAAAATGGTTTGGCTCCTACTACCTGCAAGGAAAACGGATTGGAATCCAAAGGGTTTCTACAAATAATGCCGACTCTTTCAAGTTATAAACAAGTTTATTCATTAAAAGAACGTTTTACGTTTTTATAAATGTATACATACATCTTATGAAAAGCGAGATTTACAGGAGAAACAAATAAAATTCAGATCAGAATCTTCACATTGATCGGATCATGGCTGTTTGCCATGAAGTGCTTGAATCGTCCTATTTTTTCTTTAAGAGTCCACATTTCTTTCATTCGCCAACTCTTGGTGAGTTTTCCTTTCCCGTTTTGCCAGGTTCAGGATATAACAACATGTGGTACGAAGAATGAAAAAAATTACTCGACTTCTTTTCCCTCCACGTGCACATACTTTATAACTTGATGGACCCTGATACTGCCTTCTCCCGATTCCAGGAAACCATTCGCCATTCTTCACCCTCTTGTCTACCAACCAGTCGTGTCAGTATTTAGTTAACAGACCCGATAAGCTTCTCTGAAAATCCTATAAGGTCTGATTCAAGAAGTGCAGTAGCTGTTTTCGGTTCTTGTCTCGCTAGAAAAAACATGGAAAGTAACTTTAACCGCAAAGTAATGTAACAAAGGACAGAGGGGCTGGAACATGAAATTTAAGGCGAATCACTACAGCTGACACGTCAGTGTGATAAATTTCTGCGAAAAACAAGCCCTGGAAAAAATTGTTTCCTTACATTTTTAGCCGCGATGATTCGCTCGAACTTGAACCCGACGTTCGGAAACGGCGAATTTAATAATCTATTGGTAAAACTTTACAAACTCGAACAGAAAAAAATGAAACACCTGACAAAATTACACTCCCCTCCCAAAAAATTTTTAAGCATCACATTACATATCATTATGGAGGTACTGATTAATAACAGAATTTCTCACTTTTGCACTCAGTCTTTGTTTACCTCCTTGTCCTTGCTTGATTTTTTAACTTTGAGTTTGATCTTCTTGCCTGTCACGGCGCTTCTCAGTGCCTCTTCTTTCCGTTTTCGTTCTTTCATGAACTGAAAAAAGATTTCATAAAATGATTCATGCAACTGAGTTCGACGTAAGTAATCGTAGTGCGCACCGTAAATACAGCAAAGTAAGCTTGCGAGGTGTCTCACAAGCCTTCTTTCAACCACTGAAGAAGCCCGTTTTCTGATAGGAGGTGCCCTCTCTGTTTGATCCCGACTTCAGACTCTCGTTCTTCAGTCTTGCTCGAGATCACCTGGGCCAGTCGCGTCAAAGGCAGAAAGCCCGATTTATGACCAACCAGAGGCCAGTTACAAACTGTTGAAGAGGGCCAAGTTTTTAAAGAAACTGCGGTGCTGCGTGGGGGAGAGGGGGGAGGGGGTTATAACGAGATAATTTGGTTGATAATGTAAATTTGCCAAAGTAAAGAGTTTCTAAAGCTGAAGTTTCGAGCGTTTGCCCTTCGTCTTTCGCTCTGACGAGGGCTAACGCTAACATTGCCTACTTTCACCATCAACTTAGTTTAAAAAACCAAATTAAACAATTAAAGGGTTTCTCAGCGCTACAAACCTTTGAAAGTTGAACAGGGCCAGAAGCTTCATCTGTTTCCCTCTTCTTGCTCTTCCTCTTTCTTTTCTTCTCCTGATGGAGATAGAGAAAAACCTTTGCATTTACGACAGAAAAGTTGGCTCTCTGTCACATTAAAATGGCCAGCAAACCCACTCTCAAATTGCAACTACTGAAGATGTGCATTGTCATAGACAACTTTGCCATGAACAGGGTTTTCATCAAGAGATGTAGACGTAGGAAAACAGAAAAAGGAAATAGATAATTTTCTCCATTTCTTAATAAAACATTGCTTCAGCCTTCTAAATCTAAGTGGAGAATTCTGAGTATTGGCAGAGGCATTTTCGTCAATGCCTGATCAATACCCTAAATAAGATATCTAATTATTAATATTAAATTAATATTTAAGATCCATGCCATGTTACCTTTCTCTTCTTCCTTTTTGTCCTTTCCTCTGAAAAGTCAAGAAATGACAGCTCAAATTAATTCTCTCAGATGTTATAGACCTCCAGGAAAACAGATGGAGTAAACAGTAGAACCCCACTGACTCAAACTTAATTAACTTTAACCCCCCTGTAACTCAACCAAGATCTGATTTGCCTTGATCCCAGTTTTTCTGTCATCTACTATCAGCTAACTCACACCCCCACTTTCTTGAACCATGTTTTGTTTCTCTTGGGAGTTTGAGTTAGCAGGGTTTTACTGTACAGGCAAATAAACAGTAGAAATAGTTAACAGCAAATAATTTCTTTGTACAAGTTTGGTAGAGCAAGGCTTTGCTATTAGGATGAAAGCCTGAGTGGACAATAACTCAGTGAGTACGAACAAATTTATCCCCCAAATAAAATACTGTTAGCTGGTCCTTTTTCTCCACCATCTGTTTAGGATAGACTGCAATAAGCTGTAAGTGAGCAATGTTGTTAGAATGTTTTCCCACAGTATCACACCTACAAGTTTAATTTTTATTTTCAGTTTCTGTAAGTACTATTCCTTGAATAAACACTCACTCTCTAATAAGCACCCTACCCAATAAGTGCCCACCCCGTTGGCCATGATGTCAAACAAGTGCCCCTCAGCAATACCCCACCCATCTGTTCCCTCACTTCTGTAAATAGTAGAGATAAAAGGAAACCCTGTTTCTATTGCCAAGTTATATTTATACCTTTTTACGCAACAACTACAGTGGAATCAGAACAGGATAATATGTTCTTTTCCAATACAGTTATTTCTATCTCCATGAACTTGCAGAGTTACCTGCTCTTTAAATTTCTGTCCTATTGCTATGCTAACAAAATAAGCCTGACCCTTGATTAAGCACCCTCCTTCCAATATAAGCCCTGTTGCTTATTTGAGGAAATACAACATACCAACATTTCAATACTTACCTGAGGAATCTGATTCAGAGGCACTTGAGGAGCTGCTGCCAGTTTTGCTGGATGAACTGCTTTTTGCATATTTCCTTCTTTTCTTCTGTTTTTCTGCTAGCATGGTCAGTGTACAAGAAGACATCAATAAGCAACATTAACAAAACAATTCCCATAAAACTGCACTGTTGTTGAAAAAAATGATTTACGACATCAATCCCAAGACAAAATCCTGATGAAAGTGTAGTCTCTGTTCTTTCCTATCTCAAGACATATTGCATACTACTTCTAAGTATTGAGCACTGTACTATGGAAACACAGACTTCCTATAAATATATTATTATATATATATATGCAGTTAGTTATATATATATATATATATATATATATATATATGCATGTAATAATGAAAAAAAGAATACAAAAAATGTAGTCATGTAGTAGTGTTGTTCTGTCAGTGTTGTAAATATCATCAGTATCATTAATACACATGCCTCTGTAATAGAAGTTTTCATCAAAGTAAGTATCTTTTCTATCAAACATCTAAATATAAGTGTTCTCTCTTTCAGGGTTGCTACTTCACAATTTTTCAGTTTTTTTAGGCAAGCTGTTTTGTGTGTGCAAAAGCACAGGGTGGTGAAGCTGGTAGAGGTTCAGGACAGAGGCTTTTGGCTTTGCTGCTCATTGTTTAGTGCACACAGTATGAAAGCGCCAGTTCTGCTAGCTATGCATTTATAAGTGAATCAATTGTCAAATTTTGTACCAGAGGGACATTATGATAACACACTCTACTTAACACCAAAATTAGTTTCTCTATTTTCACAGGGTGTTTATCAGGCATTGGGATTTAAGAATTCTGCGGCTGAATTTTGATGCTCTAAACTATTTTTGCTCAAGACGCAGATAAAACCTAACCTGTTGCTGTGAAGTGACCCCTGGTGCTAAATTTCTTGATGAAAACCCTGTATCTCATAAAATGATTAACGGAGAACGCATTACACACAGATTCGTATTTCTAGATACAGTACCTTGCGACGGCGACCTGTTTCTACTTGAAGAACTCGATGAAGAAGAATTTTCTCTTGACTGATTCTTATGCTTCCTTTTAGATTTTTTCTTCGCTGTAGAATATTGAGAGATGGTTGGGATGAAATTATCCTATAACTAAGAAAATGAAAACTACGCGAGCTCACCTTAGGCTTGTAAATATATATCTTTTTTTAATTAATCACTGGATCAGCCTTAACTGACAGAACATTTGACAGATACGTACGTCGACTGCGTGAAATCTCTCTTTCCTCTTGATATTTTCTCGATGAATCTTTCTTCTTTTCTGCTGACAGACAATAACACATAAGCCTATAGGAAGAATGTCATTCAATTATACAAGAAATACAATGCTCACCTTCCCGCTCCGGTCGCCCTTCTTTGTCCGCCATTTTGAATGCGAGCCGCATCGATGACAGCGGTTATCCCTCTAAGCTCTGTAGCCTAGCCATAATATAGCCGCCATCTTCTAACCTACTCAGCTGTAGTAGTAATCTTTGTCATAAACAAAGCTGAATGAAACTCTTATGTAGGAACAACTCATCACTTCTTCCGTTTGCGAGAAATTGTCTTTATCTTCCTTCAGTTTTTGTACAAAAAAAATGGGAGAGCTGTGGCAGGGAAATTAGCACTGACGAGGTACACGTTTTTCCTCGAAGCTTACGTTATGTAAGATTTTGGTTGTAGAAACATCACAAAGTTTGCACAGTAAATTTGATTACTTTATTTCAGGTCTCTAGAAGAGCCTCTGCCTCTTCTTCTCGTGGCAAGTTTAACTTGGTTGGTCCTCGACATCACGGCTCAAACATACGAAAGATAATCTTCGCAAAATTGAAAAACGAATCAATCAAAGTAAGCGCAATATGATTTTAACCTACCCGTACTTAAGCAAAAGACGGCACATTCGTGGAATATTGGGAGAAAACGTTGAATATTTAAAAATGAAACGTTCAGTTGGTTTTATGAAACATTTGTGGGTTTACTAGCCCAATAAACGATATATTAATTGACGACTGTAAATATATGTGAAAATCATATATGTGAACTGCGGTTTAAGAAATTAAAATGAAAGTGATCCTTGCTGTAATGAGCACTACCCAAGCAGTAATGAAAATTAGGCCTGAAAGAAATTCAGGCCTGTACAGGATTCAAACCCATGACCTGCGATACTGATGCAGTGCTCTACCAACTGAGCTACATGTAACATGCCAACTGGAATAATTAACCTTTTTGCTCCCAAGATGTCATCTTGCCAGTATAATTTCTCTGGGGATTATAGAGATGCACATTCTCTGATTGGTCAAGGATTGCATCAGTGTATTGATATTGTAAAGCAGATGTTACCTACTGATGGCTCTAGGGAGGAAAATCCAAGGATTGAAAGGGAAATATATATTTACGTGATCATGTATCTTAAATTGTTTGTTTTCCTTGGCAGTTTGTGCCTGTTTTTTTTGCATGACTGTCTTCATTAGTGAAAACACACAGAATAAAGGTAACCAAAGCAAGAAAACTATGTAATATATGTTTTTTTTTCTTTCAGGAGAGATACTTCAGAGAACAACAGCAAGAATTAAACACTTGGAATCAGAATTTTTGGGGGAAACAAAATGAAAAATTCAATAAGGTTGGATATGTTAATTTCTATTTCTTGAAAAATAGATAAAGATGGAAATATGGAAATGAGTCATGTTTGACACAAGAGATCCAAATTCTATTCTCATAGACCATTCTAGACCAAAGACTGATAGCACAAAAATACAGCACAACTATAAACTACATGTAGATTTGATATTGTAAATTATCTACCATAAAGAGTTTCAAAGCTGACATTTCAAGCGTAAACTAATGCTCAAAATGAAAACTTTGAAACTCTTTATAAGGGCCACTATATTTTATCAACTCAGTTGATAATACCAAAGTACCTTGTTATACTCCTCCACTGATGCAGCACCATAGTTTTTTTAGAAACTTACTCCTTTATGCAGGTAGATTTGTAGGTTTCAAACACTGGTTGGACAGACCTTTCCTGATACCTCATTACACATGTATGTGACTCCTTACTCAATTAAGTATTCAATGTGAAGAGTCACTTTACCATTTCTCATCACTTTGAAAAAAATATGTCCGATGCAATGGCTTCGAATGTGTTAGTTGTTAGGTGTGGACTAGAAACACTTCCTTTCATTATCTCTGTACTCATCCACCCACTGAAGAAAATAAATTATTGGATATTTTAAAAATTGTTTGTTAAACGAATCAAGGTAAAGACATGAAATTTCTTGTACATATTACTCTATTTAGAATGTGTGACAGAATTGAGAGCTTTGAGGCTATTTAGTACATTTTTTAACATCTGAGTATCTTAGCAAAAAGGATTATTACCAACGGTTGTCCAAGTTCTTTATCCTAATATTTATCACTCATAGTAGCATTTATAGGGGAGCATTTCATTTTTCTGTATAGTTGGGGACCTATAGATATTAATTGAGAACTCTTATGTTGTAGTCAAAAAAGGCCTTTCTCCAATTACGACCAAGAAATCTGGAAACAGACACAAGTAAGTGTCAGAAGTAAAATCACAGTCAGTTGCATGTAGACAGAACACAGTAGGTCCTACTTGTTCAGGTTTCACTGACTGATACTATTTAACCTTGAAGACTGCAGCCCTATATTGAAAGCAAACTCAATCCCCTTTGGAAACAGCACATGTATATGGTAATTAATTTTAATCATCCAAAATTATAAGGAGAAAGAGTTTAAGAATTTATTTGTAGAAAACTAGGAATAAGAGGTACTGGCTTTATGTTGAGGGACTCAAATTGGAGAAAAACCAGGAGAAATACCCCTTAAGCAAAGACGAGAAGAACAACGGCAACAAAACTCAACCTCCATGCAACACTTGGTTTGGGAGTGAAACCCAGGCTCCAGCAGTTTGAGGGGAGGTTCCTCACAACTGAGCTAAGGATCCTTCCCTTTGACGTCTTTTCATCATGTGAAGAATTTGAATTTATCTTTGGTGAGTGGTGTTGCATGCAAGACATTTCAAAGTGTTTGATGATTCATGGAGTTACTGTTTTTCTGAAAATTTTTTTCAGATAAGGAGTTAGCTGATGAGTTGTCAAAATTTTATCGGGATTTCTTGGATGGCAACTACAATGTGCATTCTCAATATCTCAGGTAACAACACAAAAACTGATTGGTTAGAATTATTTATTTTTTATACAGTCAACTCTCTGAAAATGGATGCTCTTGTAAGCAGACAGTTCTACTCATGAACACTTTTTTCTATTCTTCTTTTTGCCACCCACTCAAACTTTGTATTTGCACTTGCACATATTACATACCTTTAAGTGGACACTCCTTGTTAAGCATTCAAGGACACATTTGAAATTGAAAATTGGATTTTTCTTTGGTTTGCGCTGTCTTATAATTGGACACCCCATGAATAATAATTGACTCTTGGGAATAAAAGCTGTCTGGAATTTGCAAATCAACAAAAATATGACCATTGATAGAGCAGCACAACAGCAAGTATCAGTTTTGTGAAATCTCCATTTGTCTGCGTGAAAGCAAGCTGTCTATTCATTTGACATAAATAAGAGTCCAACATAACACTCTCCTGTAAGCTGTAATCCACTCTACTTTTCTTTACTGTCTACCTTTGGCAATAATTCTTGTTGGCAGACAGCTCTACTAACAGACATTTTTTCTAATTTTTGAGGGTGTTTGGTTTGAGAGAGTTAACTGTAGTTACATTGGCTAGTCAGGGCACAATTTAAAAGATAGATGTACATGTATTTTAGCCCATAATAACATAAAGGGAAAACATTCTAACTACCCAGGGTGTAAGTAAATGCAGATGACAACTTGCGAGTCTTGTCTGGTTTTTAGTTCAACACATGATTGATAGAGAAGTTGGCACAACCAATCATGGAAAGCAGAGCAATTAAACAAAAGCAGTCCCTGGTTATTTTTAACTCTCATGCACAATTTTAGTTGTCTAAGCTAATATTGTATGATTGCAAATTCAGAAATGGCTGGGGTTTGAATTCATATTGGGTCACTTGGATTTTTCTTTTGCTCATATTGGTGAAAAGACTTGCACATCTTGCTTTAGCCAGGGTAGTAACAAGAAATTATGTTTTACCTTTTGTATTAAACAGAGACTGGTACAGGAGAAATTTCCATCTGTTATGGACAGGGATACAAGTGTCAGTGTTTAGGATACTGAGCAAAATCATGCCAAAGAGGTCAAGATAATTGATGTGCATTTGAAAGTTAATGTGACTGTATGATTTGTGCTGACTATCAGATGGATGAACAACACATTTTTGTAAATAGCACAAACCTAAGGGCATTGAAAAGGTTTTAAAATGTACAATGGATAGTACTTTGACTGAGAAAAGGGATGTAGGCATGGAAAGGACAAGAAAATTATTTTGACATTGCAGGAAGGTTTTATTTTAATTATTTTTTTGCAAATATTGTGAAGTGAATAATATTCTTCTTGAACAGAGTATTGATGAACTTTGTACAGTGTTTTGAGATTTAAATGTGCTGGCATATTATCATCTCCCTAGGTGAGATTTAATGTGATTATTTATTATATAATAAAAAAACATTTGTGTGTCTGGATTTGGCTCATGTTATTTTTATCTGTATAACACAATTTGAAAATCGTCCATTGTCATAGACCACTTTCCTCCTGCAGGGATTTCTAAACAAGCTAGTGACTGCTTGATATCCATTGGCTACTTGATAACATTTTGCCAATTACTCTGGTCAAAATAATTACTTTTTGGCCCTCAATAAACGTTTTACAGTCACCTACTTTTGCCAAGTCTGATGCCTACTTTTGCCAAGTCTGACACCTAATTTAAATCAATTTGAAACCCCCACTCCCTTGGGAAACATTTTGAATTACCAGACAATTGGATTATCTAGACTAGACAGAAAAAAAGTCTTGGATGAGTAATCTACCAATTACAACAGATTGAATTGTCTTAACCCTCGTGATGGTCAGCTACTGATCACAGCCTTGTTTCCTGTGATGAACAGCTTTATCAAGATGAGTGACAGCACCAGGGTAGTGCCACAGGTCAGGAGATTGTCAGGCAACAAAAAAACCTTGCAGTCTGGGAATTTTCCTCCTATGATCTGACTGTTAATTTTCCCCTCCAGCTGCAACACATTTCTTTATAAATTAGTTTAACTTAAATTTAACTCTTTAACTCCCAAGATCTCATTAATAATTCTCTGTACTGTCTGCCATATAGTTCTCATGATGTTAGTTTGGAGAATTTGATATTGGATCAACTACTAATCCCCGAGCTAATATTTTTCTTTATTCTTGTCACTTGTCTGCTTGATATTGTGTTGATATTGTAAGGAGAAATTCTGTCTTGGTCACTCATGGGAGTTAAAGGGTTGAGTGATTGTTCAGTACAGATGGAAGACATTACAAACAGGCTGTTGGGACTTAGGCTAACCACAACTTGTTAATAGAGGTGAAAATCATGGTAACTAAGGAGAAAAAATTTGGACTTTTTACAACTGACCCCTTGATACAGAGTGACCACCTTCTATGGTGCCACTTAGAACAAGTTTGACTGTACTTTTCAAGAAAAAGCTAGGGAATTTTGCAAAAACTGGAGGTAGCATTCTTTGCATGCTATTTATGAATTCATCAAGGTCCATGTTTTCACTACAGTGCCATTTGCAGAAAAAGTCCAGTTATAGTCACTAATAAAGCACATCAAGAGCTGAGGCAAAATGTAACCAAAAAAAAGAAAAAAAACTTTTTAAACTCTTCCCCATTTTTAATACAATTTATCACTTATTGGAGTTAAGCATTCCTGCTTCTGTACTATCTAATAAAATAAACTCCTGAGCAAAGCTTTTCACAAAAGAATTGACAAAAATCTATTACTTGAAACAAATACTATCTTTTAAATACTAATAACGCTGAAAAATTGAGATCATGACTCAATAATATTGATGATGTTTGATATTTTTTCAGTATCTTTCTCTCTTATCTTAGACAATGTCTACATTGCCTTGTCTTCATTAATGATAATCTGTAGTATTACGGTATATGATGCAAAGTACTATATAATTATACTTACTGATATCTGCTAAGTTTCTTACAAAATTAATTTTTATTTTAGCTAACAATCAACTTAAACATGACCTGGATAATAACTTCATTTTGACCATACAAATCAATACTTAATTTCACAAATGTATGTACTATGCTCTAACGACTAACTGTACCTTCATGTACAAGATCAACTCAATGTAAAGGTAACTTGTAATTTTTTTCTTCAATAACTCTTGTAAATTGATATAAGGTCATTTTTTAAATATTAAATTATATAATTTATCTATTTGATTGGATAGTTTCTATCAAATCTTACAATAAATATTCCACTCACTAACTTTTAAGGTCACTATGAAAAAGATCTCTCAGTACAGTTTGTTTCTAACTTGATTCGCAAGTTTGGATGTGAATTTTCAACAAAAATCATTGTGAGAAACCTAAACACTCTTTTTGGAGTAACAATTCTTAGTTAGAGTGCACAAAATTCTAGTGATTTCCTCCTCGTTCTTACTTAAAAAAGGGAAATTAAATGGATCAACACTTGCTCTACAACAAAACCACCACTTGAGTTACAAACACTTATTCCCCTTACAGGCTTTGGCCAAATTCAAAGTTTGCATGCAAATCTCAAACACACAAACTTGTGTACATGCTTAGGATGGTATTAGAGAAAAAAATTGACTATAAGAGTATTATTGACCCTCTAAGCTCTGAGAGTGACCAGCATCTAATTTCTCCATACACTTAATTATTCTACTGAATCATTTATTAACCCCTTAACTCCTGTGAGTGACCAAAACTGAATTTCTCCATACAATATTAATACAATATCAACCAGATAAGTGATGAGAATAAAGAAAAATGTCAATTTGGAGATAGTTAGTCAATTCAACAATAAATTCTCTGAATAACATTATAAGAATTGTATGGTTGACTGTAAGGAGAATTACAAATTTGATCTGGGAGTTAAAGGGTTAAGGCACGAGAATAAAAGGACATGATTGATAATGCAGGCTTTGACTGTTAAACGAATTTTCTTTTTCAGCACCAAAGGGAATATACAGAGTCAAGTATGGGGAATATGGATATATTAAAGTTAGGGTTCATACCAATACGATATCACATTCTGCAAATACATAAATTTGTTTGATTTTTTGTCAAAAAAATTGTATCAAGTTGAAAAATAACTTTTTTTCTAAACAATATCTTGTCTCTGGGATGAAACCTTTAACGCATAAGTATTTTTTCACAAATATGAAGCAAATGGCTCATTCATTTAAAATTGATTACTGCTTTGAATTTTCAAAGATGCACCTATCAACAATTTAGTTGTATGCCTTCTTTACCACATTATGGTCAGCATTCCGAGCACCTGGACAAGGTCAAGTTTTAGCTCAAGTTGTTTTTCTTTCATTATAGTTTTAGGACCTTGTTAGTACTAAATAATATTACAATCTTACTTGCTTTCATGCATGAGTGTCCTCTTCCAAACAAAGTTCAACAAAAGTTGGTACAAAGTTACTCAAGTCCTATCACTTGTGAGAATACTTGAAGCTGATCAACAGGTCAAGTCTAGCGAATCACATTTCCGTTGACCACGTCATCATGAAGAACACTTTGGGTCATCTCCTTTAGAGCATTTCCAAACTCTTCTGTAATGATCTGTGGATCTGGTAGCACACTGACATCACTTTGCACTCCAATAATAACTCGGCCAGCATAGGTATAGATGGACAGCCCAATTCCAATGTTGTCTCTCTGAGGAGGCCAGAATGTTGTGTACTTGATAGGTCGACCAGCCACTGAGAGGGCATGCTGGGGACCAGGTACATTTGATAAAACACAACTTGACTTCTCAGTGATTACAGTGTTTATTCTCTTAATCATAAATTCAGGGAAAAATTCATTAGACAGCATCATCACACAGGCTGTGGCTAATGGTTCACCAGAGTATTTGCATTCATCCATACGTGCTTTGGTCTCTTGTAATTGATTCAGAACACCTTCAGTCCCAACTGCAAGCCTAAGGAAGACCAGAGAAAACATGTTTTCGAAGCTGGGTTCTTTCTTGGGGGCTGAAAGACGGACATCTACTGGAATTGATGCCTTGAAGTCTGGAGGGTTTTCCACACCCTTTCTCTGGAAGCACCTTCTGATTGCACGTGAGAGGCAAGACATCAAGACATCATTGACAGTTGTGCCTGTGGCTGCTTTGATTTGCTTGATCAATTTGAAATCAAATTCTTCATTCCAGGTAACTTTTTTGATGCCACTCAGCTTTGGCCCATGTAGAATGGATTGGTCAGGAAAGCCAAAAACTAGCCTAAGCATTGAATATGCCATTCTTAATATTGCTTTGGCCATGAGAGGTACTTGAGAAGTTGATGACGTAAACTTCTTAGTCTCCTTCTCATTTTTTGATTGATCCGGTAGCTGATTCATAAGGAACCTTGTCAAGGACACACCATCTGCAACACTGTGAGACATCCTGAAGATTGCCGTGAAATCCTTGTCACCATAATTTGTAGGAACACAGCAGAAATACCAAGGGGAAACTCCTTCTTTAAAGGGTTCATTACTCAGCTTAGAAACGATCCCTTCTAACTCCTCTCTGGAAGAGGGCACTTCACCATCCCACTTAAACACATGGTTTTCAATGCGAAAAGATCTGTCTTCCTGAAAAAAGTACTGAAAGTAGCCTGGGCGAATGCAACAACGGGCCCTCGGATAAAGTAAGGTTCCGTCCGACTTCTTAGCGTTCACCATGCGATCTAAAACAGCTTGTCGGAAATCTCGAAGAGCTTTCTCGAAGTCCGTTTTGTTCTCCGCGCAGTAAAATCCGGTAATCGCTAGACGATTCACGTCACTTTTCTGTTGCCAAAGCGCATCCAGGCCGCTCAGGTGAAGGTCGCCAGATGTCCAGTAGACGAGATATCGTTCGATCACCTTTAGACTGTAGTATACCACAATTAGTGGAACCAAGGGCAGAACGGACGTGAAGAGAAGCACGTAGGACAAGAAACAAACTATGACGAACCATAGGAATTTCAGCAAGGACAGGATTCTAGAGCCCTCCTCTCTTCGAGCTCCTAACTTGGGCGAGACGTTCTGTGCGGCAGAACTGTTTGCCACCATTTTGGTTGGGTTACCGTTCATTTTACTGCTACAGTAGCCATTCTTCACAGTTGTTGATGCATCCATTGCCGTGAGTGAACTATTCAGTAACACCACTGCGCGAAAACTCAACATTTTCTTAGCCACCTGAGGTAGATCAAAGGTTCCTGATGAAAACATAACCTGTGATTGGTCAGTTAGAATTCACGTGGTAATAATTTCGTCACGCACAAGTCACAGACATTCACGTGTGTGAGGGATGTATCCTGTTTTGGCTCTATATTTGACTCATCAAATGCTTGTATGGAGCCTATGCCAAGTCAGATTTGCATTTGATTCCAGCCTTATTTTTTTTCAATAATTTTGGCGGACCAAAACGTTTAACCGAGTCCTCTTTCGACTAAACAGGAAGTGAACTATGTTCGAAAGCCACCTTCACTGACCTTGCTTGACAAAGGACTGGGTATAAGGTTTCTATTTTGAACAAAATGGCGGACGGACTTTGCTGTCTATCTGTCGGCTAAGAAAATTAAGCATGGCTGGAGTTGAATAGAGATTAGCTCAATGAGCTTACGTGGTATTTGGGTTTTTTCAGCCCTTTTTGAGTCCGACGGTGTCCTGTTTTCTCGGTAAGTGGAATGTTTCACGTGCTACCCTCAGAAAATGTTTCACGATACATTCTCACCGTTTGTGACCGTCCGAGATACGTATGTAATGAGTTATGCTATTCGTTTTTTGTAAACCTTGCTCTTGCTTTTCAAACTTTGGTTGCTAAAAAAATGAATTAATTTCCTGGTGGGCGTGGGTCAAAGGGTACACAGAGGCATTAAACGAGAACTTTGAACTGAGGAATTGGAAGGAAGCGTGAACGGACTGTGGACTATGCAGACCGAGTGAAATATGACCTAGGGTGTTAAAAAAATGTGTCTCTTGAAGAGAAATTTTCAGTTCCATACAATCCAAAGTAGTCCCGTGAGCAGTGCTAAAGAACATTTAAATACATTCACAACCTCCAAGAGTAACTAGACCAGTGTCTCGTATTTCCTTACAATGTCGCTCCTGAAACAAACATTATTGTTATATACTTAAGGACTCTCAGGAAAACAAAACTGTTTCCCTTGGGACCATACATTAAGTGTATACTGGCATGAGAAGAGATGAAATGATCCCAAACTTGAGAAGTATTGATTGTTGAACAAATTACCCCAGTCATTACCATATGTAATTTGTGGCGACCAGTATGGAGAATGTACATGCTGATGTTAGAATTTTAGGATTAAGTGGCTATCTCCCCATTTAATTGTCACTTCAGGGTGGGGCTGTTGATCTGGAATTGGGTATAGGCACTTTTTTCAAATTTCACCCTTAATGTGGGATCTTTTGCTGAGGAGGTAGAAGGGCAGGTTTATTAGAATCACCATAACAGAAATTTTTGCATTTTGTATAATCTTAAGGTGTTTTCCAACTGTTGAACGACGAGCAGTTCTACATCAGGGAGCACTTAGTTTAACACCAATCCCTGGCGATAAAGAATTATGTGAAGCTGTGCTTAAAGAGCTGGGATGTAGGAAAAAGCAGGGAACTTCCCTTGATGAGGTTGTGTCTTCTTAGTTCTGGTTATTATCACACTACACCTCATTTGATAGCTTATGTAGAGCAACAACTCAATTAGTTTGCATGAAGGTAAATTTGTGTGGCAGGCACAACCTGGAGTGTCAGACTTAGGCAGAACATAGGTGAAAATCGGTGACAGTCAGCATCAGCAGGTTATTGTTCCCCTTAATCATATTGATAGCTCTGATAAAGCAAAGTACTGTTTTCAGCCTCACTGTAGTTCTGTGCAAAAATAAAAGCTGGGATTTTGCTAAAACTCTATATAAAGTATACTATAAATTGTGCATGCATTTCTTTGGATGGAAAACCTAATTGCAAAATGAAAAAATATCTACTAATTAAACAAAGTTTTCAAATGAAGTTAAGTATTTTGAATTTTGAATGCCTCTCAGGGAGCCCAGATGTTTTAACTAATTTAATGTAGAGCATAATTACAACATTATCTCACTGCTCTCTGATTTTATTTATTTTGAGGGAGGTAAGGAAGGCATGTGCTTTTTGGAGAGGGGCTCAATGCCTTGATTTTCTGATAACAGTCGTTACAATATCATATTTTCTCAGTTTGACAAAGATGTGGATTTGTGCAACAAGCTTGAACAAAAACCTGCACATGAAGTCAGATTGAAGAGTGGTTTATTATGGCCAGTTGTTATAATTGAAAAGGTAAGGCAGCATTAACAACATCATCAACCTTGTTTTTTCAAAAACCATTTGGCAAATCATTAAGCACAGTTAAGTATAGTTTGATGACGATTTTTGCTCTTCCAACTTCATGTTCACAGTTTATGCTGAGTATTGTTTTGCATTCTTTTTTATTTTAGTTTGGTTTGGTATTCGTGTGTCTGCCTTTGGTAGAAACTGATCTTTCACATGGAAAACCTCCCCTTGTTAAACTGTAAGTCAATTCTGTGTACTTAACCCCTTAACTCCCAGATCAAATTTGTACTTCTCCTTTTGAAGAACAGCAGGTTTTAAATCATTTTATTCTGTGATTTAGTTATACTTTTGTACTTTTAATTGATTTTATCTCTTATCTCTTGTATTTTTATTTGTTATATTATCTCATAGTTATGCCATAGTTTTTAACATCCATATTGTACATAATTTTAGAGGGCCACTGGTTTGTTAGTATTTTTATACTATTTGAGTGCTACCCTCTTGAAATTAAGTCTTTACTTACTTACTATCTTTAAGTTAAATCATGAGAATAAATGACAGTTATGTGCAGTTCCTTACCTTGTTGGACACAGTATTATAATTTAAACAGAGGTTCTTGCACTTCTTATATATATTGATGGTGGTACATTACTAATTGGCTGGAATCAAAATATTATCAATGCCACTGATGAATTCTCCTTTCTTCCACTTAACTTTTGCTACAAGTTTTCCTCCACACCCCTCTCAGGCCAGTAAAAATTATTTTTGACAAAATTTACCCTCATTAGTATTAATAAACTGAAGGTAATTGATGTCAGAGACAACACCTGACTATTTTTCCTAAAATCAGTATTAAGCATATACCACACAGGCAAATATTGCTTAGCTTAGTGCTCAGTGTTGATTGGCTGGTTCAAAGGTGAGCAGCCAAAGAGGCAAGATCACACAAACATCCCTGATTTGATTTCTGACTCTTTTTTTTTGTATATTAACAGAAAGAAAGTAAGATTGTTTTTTGGTTTCTGTGTAGTATACACCAAAACAATTATTCACCTCAGTTCAGTGTTGGTCAAAGTGGTGGATATTTACCTCCACTTTGTTCAGGAATTGTTAACAATCCTTGCTGATTGTTTTTGTGTATGGTTATTTGTATTTTTCTTGTAATTGCCATTATTGCAACTATTACTGGTAATAATGTGATTTCAAGTGCAATTTGGTGCTAATGGGCACAAGGAAAATTTTTCAAAGACAACAAAACTACATGAACCTGTGGTGCAAGTGCAATTTGTAGTCTTTGAAAAATTTACACATGCTTATTAAACCAAATTGCAAGAGAAATCATGTTATAACTTGTTAACAATGTACAAGAAAAAACATCACAGAAAGTCAAGACAGACAAAATTTTGAAAGTGTGCGAGCCCTTTTTGTAATTTGCATTCATTTTACAACTTTGCACTCGTGTTACATGTGAAAGCACTTGCTTTCAGCCAACAAGAAGCTTGTAATTTTTCCGTGCACATTATAATAATTATGGTTACAAGCTATTGATATCTATTTAATATTTATTTTCATTTTCAGGCCTGGTGTGTCACTAGGATACTCCTTACTTCACTCCATGGTTGACTTTGTTGGAACTTGGACCACCAAAGAGGAGGTACTGAAACTCTGCTTTTGTTATAAAGTGATACTGCTTTTGAATTGGAAGATCTGATTGTTCATAATTCCTTTAGACTTTTCTCAAAAAGGTGATGCACTGCAAATCAATGAGAACAGTTTTGTTTTACATCAGGGTAATGCTGTTTAAGTGATAAATTTGTCTTTTCTCTTTACATGTCTTTGGGATAATATGTTAGATTTGATTATTGTAAGATGTTAGCAGTCTATCAATCACTTTGATTGCAAGGAGGCAGCATGGTGGAGTGGTGAGAGTATCAAACTTACAATCCATATTTGAAGGTCTTGGGTCTTACTCAGACTGCCAGATGGACTGATTTCATCATAGTCCTTTTCAACTCCTTGACCACACTTTTTAACAGCTGACTGGATTACCTTCAGCCATGAAGGGTTCTGGGACATTTCAGGGTTGACATAGATTATTTGAAGGTGGTTATTTAAGTAGAGTACTGAAAAACTACAGTGTAGCTGAAGAAGCAAAAGGTCATTTCCATCATTAAAATATTAATGCTGACAAATTTTTAAACATTTAGTTTCTGTGTTGTGAGCCCCAAATGATTTGTTTATGTAGAGATAATTTAATTTTTTTCAGCTACAATCTAAGATGAATGAGCTGTGCAAGTTCCTTTGTGTAGCTGCTCCTTTTGGTACTCCAGTTGACACAAATGTGGCTACAATTCAGTCACTTGTCAACTTAAAAGATGTGACTGTACCTCTTAAAAGCAAGGTTTGTAGTTTTGAAGTTAACATTGTACTTATTTAGATAATGGTAATGAAATGCCTAAATTCTTAATGGTTTTGTCACACAATTTTCACTGAATGCATATATACAATAACACAACAAGGTGTTTGTATTAAGAGGGTGGCAGTAAAGCAGAATGAAATTGTGAAATTCCTTTTTGTTGTAACTGTTAGCAACCTGCTTGGAAGCCTGTTCAGTACAAAGGGAAACAGCAACTTGTGTTTACTGTTAAAGAAGAGATCAGAGCTGTTCAGGTGTGTGACTGTTAATAGTGATGACTTCATTCAGAATTTGATAGTTAACCCTTTAACTCCCAAAAGTGATTAATATGTAACTTCTCCTTAGTATATCAGGGCGTGAAATTGCGCCTAATACAGGCGCCAATGCAACTAAATTTTTCCCTTTGGCAACCAAATCCTGAAAATTAGTTGCCAAATTGGCGACCAG